TATCTATCATTTGAACGTTGAGCAAGACTGTGTAGTTAAGGTTGAGTGAGTGCACACGGATTTTACACGTTTCGGCAAGGCTTTACACAATTTTGCATGGTTCCGAAACGGAATTTTGCCGACTTTTTACTAGTGGCCTTGGACAGGGTGCAGTGTGGGGCGAGCGTTTCCATGCCGGACGCGGCCGTTTGACAGGCTCGCACTTCGCTGTTGGAAAACGGGGCCAGGATGCGGCTGCGGTGGCGCCATCTGGTCCTATCTCAACGCGGTTTCAGCTTCAAACATAATCATTTTTACAGAGCAAGGCAATGGAATTGCCATGAGCTCCCTATTTTGCCCAAGCAAAGCAGTGTCCATGTTCAGTTCATTGAGATCTAAGCGTCAAACACGCAGTCGCATTGTTGAAAAACGGTCCAACCAAGGACGCTGTTACAATGGCACGATCTGGCAGTATCTTGTCGAGGTCTGAACATCGAATACGCAGTCTGGTTACATTGTGACACATTGAGGCAATTGTTGAAAACTGTGTGAACCGTGAAATTCTGGGCCCGTGCGAGGGGAAGCAGATCTCAGCCGAAGATCGCACTTGCCGCTCGTCTGCGCGGCGGTGTGTAGCTCTGCCTAGAGCGGCCATGGTTGTGGTGCGAGTGCGGGGCAATGGTGGGCGCCACTGACTTGCGGCAACAGCTTGTGGCATTGCGCAGTGAGAGCATGCGTACATGGCAATACATATACATGCTACATGATACATATACATGGACCATGGTATGCCCGCGCAAGCACCGGGGGCTTCGCATCGCATGTCATTGTGGGATGTGCAGTACAATTACCTTAGATTTCTTGCGCATTGTGTACGGAATGTGCAAACTGGGTGGACTTCCGAAAGTTGCAGGTTGGACGGGTGATCAAAATATGTGGGGCAAATTAACTATTGGTGAGAAACATTTCAGCATTGGGCAGTGCGGGCACGCCTGCTCGGGGCGGTTGGGATTGCTGGCAAGCTTGGCTTTCACGTTTACGTTTACGTTTCTGCTTTTACGTTTTATGCGTAAAAACGTAAATTTGAGGAAGGGGCTATTCTTACGGCCATTTTGGCCTTTTTAACGCTCCCTGGGACACCCAGGCTACACAATGACAGTCGCGTACAATGATCAGTCCTCCGCCATCTCCAGCACCCGCAACGCAGTGTGCACCTCGTCCTGGGCAAGGGCAACGATGGCGAGTAACAAAAGCTCGTTTTCTGCCCCTTCCAGGGCGTCTGGCTGCCTTTCCCTGGACTCCGTAAATCTGTATGTACTGTCCCTATGCGTGCGGGGCTGTATTTATGTTGTATTTACGTATTTTGACATATTTTGCACGATAAAAAAGTAAGAACTATTTTTAGCGTAGAAACGTAAACGCGATCAGTTGTTATGACGTAAAACCAGGCCTGGTTGCTGGGGTAGGCTGTCCGTGGCGCCAAGGGGCTAAAGGCCCATTGGCTATAGATTTCATCGACTCTTTCGCGATTACGCTCATAAACGTTGTCTACAATTCTCCAGCTCAGGGAATTCCCTGTTCGAACTGCGTGGGCCGCACGTTTGCTTGGGGACGCCAAGAGTAGATTGCACTGGGTTGCAGTGTCAATTTTGTAACCACAACCTGGACTCCGCAAGGATGCGACCGCAGATGCTGAGCTCCAGGATATCCTGGTCCCATATCGATCCAGTATCGATACTGCCACAATACGCCCAAGACGGCGGCAGCTGCCCTTCTGCCTGACAACGCTGTCGAAGGAAGCGCGTGTGGTTCCACATTCCGTTGCACACCCTTTCCTCCATCGCACTCTCAGCCGTCCGTTCCTTGTCACCTCTGGACGCAATCTTCCAAAATCTGCGCTATCAGAAAACGCCATTTGCGACGCCGACTGCGACGCATTTGACGTCAAGCGACGCCACCCAAGCGGTTGCAATGGCATTAAAGTGACTGAGATGGCGTAATCAGTGTCGTAATGCGTTGCAGTTCGTATCGCAGAATGGTGTTTTCTGTTGGGTGTTGGGACCACAGGAAAGGCGGCTGTTGGGAATTCCCGATTCCCGCTCTTGGAAGAGTGGCAGTGCGTTGAGCTGCCGGTCACGCCACGACTTGCGCGCCCTGAAGGCGCAGCCCTTGCATAGCGTGGCGCACGCTGTCCACATCTCGAATGTTTTACCAACCGATCTACCGGTATCTTTCACCATACTGATGGCACCACCGACGAAAGATGCTAGAGATGTCAGGAGATGCGCCGACGCCGGGCTTCCGGCTCCGGCCCCAGCCCGCGCAGTGCTTACGTTCTCACCATGATCAAGAAATCTTACACATCAAGCCGAGGATCCTCGGCTGATGCTGCCAGGTAGTACAGTATATTTTGGTAGGGCGTACGTACTGCCTCCGGAGGGCCTCCGGAGGCAGTACATATGTGCACTCCCTACCACCCGGCACACCCAGCACGGACGTGACGATTGCAATCAAGACCGCGTCACCACGCCGCCGAGATTCTGACGCCGGTGATGGCTGCTTGCGGGGCGGAACAATGTGGGAGGCAGGCATGGCCACGAGCTCGGAGACACAGCGGAGGGAACACAGAGTTACAGGGAGACCGTGGACAGGCGCGTCCCTTTATAGTCATACAATCATTTATCAATCACGGGCCAGTTGCTGTCGCAACGCCGGCTTTCAGCAAATTGACGGCAGCACCATCGGAGCCCTGCAGATCCCCCGTTTCAGTGGGTCCCACGGCCCAGCGGCGCCGGGCCAGCGGGCCCGCTCCAGAGATAAGATTACTGGGCCCCTGAATCGGATTACTCGTTCCCCCGGATTCTGCATTAGGGTCCTCGCCGTGCGCTCCAAACGCCTGAGATTTCCTGTCGGTGCCGGCACCCTCAGTCCACAGTCCGACAGGTAGCCCTCGAAACCAAGGGGTTCCACGTGCTCACTCGACTGACCCTGACGACTGACGACTGACCCCTCCCCCACAAGCCAGGTTGCCCCACCGGCACAGCCGCCGCCAGTAGGTAAGCTACCGCTTAAGTACTGGCCACGTAAGTGCTGCGGATGAGCACCGCCCGCCTGGGAACCTGCGGGCGCGCACACTAAAGCCCCCGACGCGCTCACTACTCACCCCTCCGCTTTTGCCGCCACCGCTTAAAAGCCCCTGTCGCCCCCCTCCCCCCCCCGCCGCGCTCACCACACTGGCCTGGCCGTTGCTAAAAGGAAAGCCGGCGCTTTCAGGAGGCCGTTCCGCGGGATCGCTCGCCTCCATCGGGATCGCGATCGCGCCGGAGGACCCGCGATGGCCGTGGAGTGGCACGCGCCGGGCAGCATCGGCCCTCCGGGCTCGCCCCCCGTGAAGGCGGCCGGAAGCCAGTTGCTGGAGGATTTCGAGCGGCTGGACGAGCTGTGGGACACGATGTGGTCAGGTGGGGGTCCGTGGCATTTTTGCACGCTGATCCGGGGCGGATGGCCCCGGATGCGGTCGGCGGGGCGATTGACGGACGATCGGCGGGCGGGGCCGGGGTGGGCGTAGGATTTGTTACAAAGAGAAAAGGAAACGGGTCAGGCAAAGGGCATGACCTCCCAGGCCTTTGGCGTGCGAGGCTGTCTTGCTGCGAAGAGACGACCCTCGTGCTGTGAACAGTCGATACAGGCGAATCGGCTGGCGATCGGCGAATTCGGGGGTCCCTGACGGACGGCTAAGTGGGCGGGATCGATCTGAGCGGCCGGCGGTGGTGGAAATAGGATCGGATGGGCTTGACCTGGTCAGGTTGGCTGTAGGAGAGAGGCGGGGAAGGGGAGTGCGGGGGGTGCGGCGCGCCAGGTTGTGCTGCTCGTTTTGCCGCTGTTGGGGGGGGGCCCGCTGGAGTTGTCGATGATCGACGCCATGGTGGCCATCGCAATGGGTTTGTTGGGTTTGGGTGACGCGGGCAGGCGTGGCTTGGCTCTCGTCCCTTGGGCCGGTGCGGGGGCAGCGGCCGCTGCGCCAGGGGTTGGAGGCCTTTCGAGCAGAAAGGTAGGGTTCGGGATTCGTCAGCGCGGGATACCCCTGCTGTCATCGGCTCGCGCTGTGCGACTCACCGTTCACGTGGGCCATGAGCGCCGTGAGATGTGGCGTTGCTCGTCGGTTGTCGTAGTGGTGCGCAGAGGTCTGATGCGATTGCCGGCGCGAGGCCATCAGTTTGCGTGGTAGTTTGTGCGCTGGGGCCGCGGAATCCCGCGCCAACTGATGGACTTGGAGCTGTCAGCGGACCGCCGACTGCGCGGATGTACTGGCCCAAAAGTCGCCTCGAGGACGGCGTCAGTGCTGGGTTGGTGGGCGCCCTGTTGCGGGGGACATGCAACTGTTGAGTCAGCGGCGTGGAAGTTGACGCTTGCCGCCAAATTCCGGGGCTCAATTCCCTTGTTTGAATATGATGTGGTCTTTAAATGGCAGATTCAGGCAAAGGAATTTAGCCACGGAAGCGAAGGGATTCGTGAGGTGTATGCCGCGCAGAGTTTGCCGCGCTCAGCGTGGAGTTGACGAACGCCGTTTCAGGGAAGAAATGATCAACTATGTACTGTAAAGTACTGAACATTGCGCCATACTTTCCAGCGGTAGCATTGATGCTGGGCTCCAGAGTTACACGGGTGACTACGCGGGTGAGAAATTGTGTAGTTGCGAGAGTTTGGAGGAGGTCCAAGCTGGGCCTGGTTTGTTGGGAAACCCCTCCGTTGGCAGCGCAAGCAGCGGCAAACTTAACTTTTGTTGAGTGAAGGAAGAGATTACTCATAGCTGACGTAGTTGGCCACCATCGATCGTCAGCCAAACAGCACCGTGCCTGAGGTAGTTGCAATTTCTGCTTGTGCCTGCTTGCTACTATGGAATGCAATACATATAATATTGTAGAAAGTGGAACATGTAACGTGCACCCTGTGATCCTTCGTGGCCTTTGATGCAAGCGAAAACTGGCACCACAAGCACGGTCATGGTTGATCGACCTGGCCAACTGGCGTATGGTTTGCGGTTCCTACACACGGCATGAGCAACTCAACAGAATTTAGAAAACACCAAGCATTTGGAAGCAAAAAGTCGTGAATTTTTGTGGAAGGGTCAAGACTTGACCATCAATTTAGTTAATGGCACTGTTGTGCCTCTTTAGTTGGGATTTTACTGTATAGAAGGGAATGGAATTTTTATGTGCAAAGCGCACAACATGGCGCCGAAAAGAACAGTGCTCTGTATGGACGCAGAAACAGCAGGTGTTCCCCGTGGACACACACAAACGCAAAACACAGAATCAAGCGTTTGAGCCAATTGAATTGAGCTAAACGACCGCTGGTGAACCGACTAACGAGGTTTTCTGCATAATCAAGAAAATTGAGCCCAGCAAATAGAACTTAGCCATTGTATGTGAACCAACTAACGGGCTCCTCTGCGCCCTCAGGCGACGCGGTCCCCGTGCCCTCCGAGCCGCCCACCCTCCAGAGGCGCTCTGTGGGCCTCTCAGAGTGGAGCTCCGACCCCTCCCTGTCCATCCGATCGCGCAGCGACATCGGCACCAGCCACCCGCTGAACGTCGTGGACAGCCCGTCACCGGCGTTCTCTAAATCATCGTCCTGGTCGGCGGTGTCTGGATCGCCTAACGGCGGCCGGGGGCTGCTGCGGCGCATGAAGTCGTGGATGGACAAGGTGCAGGATCGCCGGCGGGGCATCGTGTACGGCAACAACGGGCCGTGCCAGCTCTTCTCGGACTGGGGCATCCCGCCGTACCCGGAGGACTACGACTGGAACGAGGGGTGAGCGGGGAGCCGCACAAGCTCTCCATAAAGTATTGCAGGCCTCCTGTACTTTAAGGCTCGTACTTTAGCTCCTGTAATTTGGGATCCCGCGTTGCTTGGGGCCCGGTGCTGTGTGTGTGTGAGCGCGAGACTCGACCCCGGCCGGCTGTTCGGCGGGACCGGGGCGGCTGGTCCAGTGGGACCAGGGCGGGCGCTCCGGGTACTGCTTCTACGGTACTTCCGTGGTAGTGCTTCTTAGTATTTTGTTGTACTTCGTGGTAGTACTTCCGAAGTAGTTTATTGGGGATGGCTTATTGGGCTTAGGAGCGGGGCGGCGGGACGTCCACCGCCAACGCGGTGACGCCCAGCCCGGGAAGGATTTGAGGATTGGGCTTGGACTTTGGAGTCGATTTAAATTGGGTGTGAAACTTGATTTGTGGTTCGCATTTGGTCTGAAAAAGTTGTTTTAAGGGAGCGCAAGGGGCGGTGGAGGTGGCGTTGTGGCCCGGAGGGGCACCAGCCTTGCTGGGACTATTTTGGTGACGTGTGCGGAGGCAGGCTGGATGGACTGGCGGTGTATTCTAGGGCGAGGGTATCGCGCTGTGGGCACTATTGTGGGCAGTTTGGGTCGCAGCGGGGCGGGTCCATCGTCCCGGGGAACGGACGGACGCCGGTGCTGGTCCCCTGGCTGGTGACATGCCACCACGAGGGACCCGTTTGTCTTTCAAAGGCAAGCTTACAAACAAACGAGTTCAGCCAGATCACCGACATCGTGGATGGAAGATGTTCGCGGCATGCTGGCGACTGAATGGCTGAGCTACAGGCGGCCGTCACCAGAGGCTGCGGCCTTTTATGCACGTGTGATCGCAACGGGCGCTCGAGGGGCGCCCGGGCTGGTGGGGGAGGGGATGGGGGTCGGGGAGAGTTCCGGCGCGCTGCGCGGTCGGGACTGGGACCAACTGCCTTTTGGGAAACTGAGATACAAGGCTCAACACTTTGTTGTACATGTGTGTAGCACGTTTCCTGAAAGGGTGTTGATCGGGTTGGATGTGGGAAAAATAGCCGCTCGAGTTGCAGGGCCTCGAAACAAAAGGCAAAGCTGGCCTCTGGTTTTGAGTGCCACAGGTGGCGACGGTTCCTTTTGTTTTGGGCCTTTGGGGGGCGCTCGCCGTGTTGGCGGGCGCCGTCGATTTTGTGTGTCAGCGGATTTCCTTCGTTGTAACGCCAAGGAAAGGGCATTCCTGGACTGGCGTTTGTGCCTTTTTTCCGACTAAGGGCTGGGGTTTTTCGTTTGTCGGTCTGTCCTGCCGGAATAAGCCCCGCGCCGGCGCCCCCGGCGCTGCGGGCGCCCGGGGGCAGCGGAGCGTGTTCTGATGGATTTGTGGGGCGCGGGATTCAATGATGTCTTGATCGGGAAGATAGAAACGCGGTTGAGGTCTGTGGCCTTTGTTGCAACATTCATGGGCATTGCGGTGGTTGGAAATTGATGTGCCCAGCGATCGAGTCGGCCACGGTTCGATTCGCATTTGTAATTGGCGTCTGGGCGCAGCGGTGCGCGTCATGCTGTGACTCATTCGGCGTTTGGGCCTGTTTTACCAGCGTGGGTTGGTAAGGGCCAGGTTTACCGACGTGGTCGACGCTGGTGGCAATGGCCACCGGCGATCTCGACGCAAGGCGTCCTAATCTGTTCCAAAGCACTGTAGCACATTAGACACGTGCGCAACGGCAACGGAAACTGTAAGGGGGGGGGGGGAGGGGCGCGCGCCCGGAGAGGCAGGGCACAACAGCCTCCATGACGGCCCGATCGGGCACTCTCCATTCAGCATAGTAGGGGCATGCAATTAGCGCCATAAACCATTCGCTGGAAGTCGCAAGCTCTGGCGTTGCTGATGTACCGTGAACCCTAGAGCCAAACTACCAACAGGGCTCAGTTTGGCCAAGGGAATGTTAATGCAAGCCCCCGCAGGGCACACACAAGGTGGTCAAAGCTTCCACCCCTTCAGTCGGAGGCATTTCAATAGCAAAGAAATGTATGCATGGCTTCAAATACATCGCTTCATCGCTTCAATTGCTGGCAATGCAACCAAAAGAAATTCGAGTGTCGTCATGGCACAGACCACCCCGTGCCACAGCACAACTCTACCGCTCTCTGTGCCCACGCATCAGGCTCCATAAGCGCGTGGGCTGCTCAATGCCCCACACCCGTACATGTCACACACCGTGCGTGATCCGCTCACCCGGTGGGACCAAAAAATCCGATGAACAAAAAGTGCGCCCATGGCCGGGTGCATTGCCCACAAGGCGCCACCGTGTCGCCGTGCACCGACCATCAAAGAACGCCCCGCTGGCCAAATCTGCCGTTGGCCCATCACCTGGGCAGAGGCATCTTCACAATTCCCCAGCAGTCGGTCCCAACGCCCTTTCCTTGCACGTAACAAATGACAGGTCGCCACTGCCTCAACCGCGGCTACCCACTGACACACAGGGTTATGTCCGCTGACCCACAGGGTCAGAACCCCTGACCCAGACCCTTGCCCGCTGACCCACAGGATCAGCACCCCTGACCCAGACCCTTGCCCACTGACCCACAGGGCGAGCCCTGCTACGACTCCGCCGACGGCTTCTGCATGCCCAGCAGCCGGATGAAGTCCACCCACAGAAGGGAGCCCAGGAAGGTGTTGCCTGTGCGGGTGACCGTGGACAGCGCCTTGCAAACCTGGGGCCGCCCCGCGAACGCCACTTCGATGCCCCGCTCCTCGATGATGCCCGCCACCACCTGGTAGCGCAGGTTGGCGGAGACGGCCATGTAGGTGGCGTAGGCGAAGCTCATCTTGACCAAGTCCTGGATTGGGTGCGCACACACATACACACACTAACTAACTTATTCTTGAACGGTGCGGTATTCTCGTATGATGGGGGCTCATTGTTCGTTTATAACGAACAGCACAGCACAAACGTGTGGATGCCAGTCTCTGTTAACGCACAAACTGTTCTCAAGGGGTTGAGGCTGTGGGGTACACTTTTGAATAAATTAATTGGCATTGATCTTGACAGGTCAGGCTCAGGCAAGTGGCAGATAAGCAGGCCTTTTGCCACTTTGTAACATGGTGCACTGCGACACAAGGCCTGAAAACGAAATGGTGGCATGAGAATGCAACCACCAGACATCTTTCGCTGCCACGGTTCTGTTCTATTGCAAAACTAGGACAGCAGGCTCTTGTTGTTGCCAAGCAACCGCAAAGTGATTGCCGATATCAAAACACAACACAATCATGCACACCATTTCATGACTATTCACCAGACAAAGCAGGGGTTTTGGGATCTCTGACATAGGTGTGACTATTCACCGGACAAAGCCCCGAGGTGTTGGGATCTCTGACATAGGTGTTCTGTAATGCACTTGCTATGAAATATTGCTGTTGTTGCAGACACGGATCACACATGCCATGAAAGGGTGCCACCATGTGCAACACTGTGATTTGTGCTGGCAGGACAATAACAACCAACTGCCCTGTTGTCACCACTGGCCACACCCATATTACAGAGCACAGGTGCGTACAATTCAGATTCAATAATTGGTCACAGTGCTGTTGTTATCTTATTATTGTTATATCTGTTATTGTTACATATTATTGTTAGCTCAGCATTTTAACCAGCCCAGCAGTGTTGTTCCCTTCAGAACAATCGTGCACATAGATCTTGAAGTGGCAACAAGGGCCAGCACAGCACAATGAACGAATCAATCAAAAAAGTGTACAGGCCCAGGATGCATCTCATGGCAGGACTCCTGCACCATATTGTTCGTTCTACAATCCGCTGCTTTGCAAATGTCACAAAATGCAACATACGACTACTGCCCTATCGCTCTCAATTTTTGGAGCCGCTTGTTTCTTACTGTGTCCTTTACTTGTGAGTGAGCCACATCAGTGCACCTCTACAACTTCATCAATACAGCAACTGTTTGCAACACTCTATTTCTTGCAACTGACAGAGCTTTCCCAAAGCCATGATCCTCAAACTGTGGAGCCAACAGAACTGCAACAAGCTTCTAGCAATATGGCAGGGCATGGTACACTTCGCATCTTGCCTGTTTGTGTACACACCTTTTTCGCCTGTTACTCTCTGCAGGAAATTCACGGCATACAGGTCGTCATCTCATGACCCGTGCACCATGCGTGTGATGCAAGGCGCGGCAGCATACAACAAGCAGTCAATTGTTCCCCATGAACTCAGCGCTTACACGCTGGACTCACCTGTGGGGGGTTGATGTTCTTGAACGACGGGTCTATCAGCTCACGTATCTTGATCAATGTATTTGTTATCGCGACACCTGCGAAGCTGCAGACCAGCCCCACGCCAAACAGCTTGGAGCCATTCCGCAGGATCGCGCCAAAGCGCTGGCCCAGAGAGAAGGGCACCATGCCAGGTTGCACGACCTGTTATGGGCACCCCGAAGGGTCAGACAACATCAACAGCAGAGCACAGCAACAACGATGGACGACCGATCCGATGATCCGAACGACCGCTTCTCCTGCTCCGCTGTGGGTACTCAGTATCTCTGGCATGGAGAGCTCGCCATCGCACAAAGCATTCCAATTGATTCCAATTGATGGCTTGAACAGAAGGCAAGCCCAAACATTGCTACTGAGAAGGGATGCTCTCTATATGATGTTTTAACCTATGAGAGAACAGTGTTAGTTGGATTGGATTGACAGTAACATGGAGTACAAGAGTGGAGGATCCCAAAACTAACACCTTGCAGCAGCCATTTTCCCCTGTGCGCTGGTGTGGGCTTGCCCACCTTATTTGTGCGTCACTCCATTCTTAACATTCTACACCATTCTGCACTCCATTTTCCTCACCATTTCGTGACATTATCTTTCATGGCATCAACAGGAGTCTCACATGCATTTCGCACAGGTGATGGGCACCCATTGCAAAGCTGATTTCCATTTTGTCACAACGAATCACCCAATCAATTCCCTGCAAATGTGGGACACCTCAATGGCACTATTCCTCTCTGGTGCTGCAGACATCTTAGCTCCAAGGGTGCAGAAACAGTACATGACACAATAGTTTGGGATTGTTCTTCCAATCGTCTGAGCTTAACTGAAACTCTTTTGTGCCAGGTATAGGCAGAATAACTCGCACAAACTGCCGTTCGACCATGCTATACAGCACAAGCTAATGCAAATTCAAGAGCTGCAACAGAATGTATACAAATGCTGCACTACGTGCCTTGCAGCATACAGCACTGCAGTGCTCTAAATTGCAGCGCACAGTACTGCAGTCCACTGCTCTGAGGCGAAGAAGCTGCATGGCACTTTAGTGTTGCTCATGCACCCTCCACTCACCTGAAAAGCGTTGTCTGGCAAACTGGACCACCATCTGCCAAATGCACCGCTCTTTGTGGCAACCGGCGCAACCGATCGGTACCTCAGAGTGGGTGCCGGGAGCCACACCAGCAAAAAGTCGGCAAAGATGGCCATGATCACGTTGGCAGTCACAAAGTCGAGTTCCTTCCAGAACGTCTTCTGCCGCTTGCCATACTCGGCCGCCGACTTGGTGAAAATTCCGATGCCACACTCAAGTGAGAGCTTGTACAAGAAACTGGAGTCAGCCATCAAGCGCTCACGGAATCCTGCACAGCAGCATTGAGGTGTGAAGATTGGTGGCAACTATACTGTGGCGGTGGTGTAGCTTATTCCCCCCAAAACACGGCTGATATTCCTTCTTCTCGTGCGGAGCAATGCAAAGTCGAGTTACACATTCTGCTCTTTGACCATCAGGGCATCAGAGTTTATTCCATGGCCTGCATGCGTCACAAACATGTCAACAATACACAAAACGTTGTCATTCCACCTGGCAGGCGATGACAGAAGAACAATTGTTCATGGCACATCTTGCCCCACAACTGTTGTCAGCCATCCAACAGTTTGGGGGAATCTTGAGGGGTGGCACTGCCCAGTATCTTGTTCTGTGGCCACTCAAGAGGCATTGGGCAGCCAGAAAGGCTGGGGCTACACTGATTTAGCTAAGTGTTGAGGGCATACCTCATGGAAGAAGATGATCAAGATGTGGAGGATTTGAGTATCGATCACCGCAGCTCTAGGCACAACATTGTTTTGGAGGTTGTCAATGGCCCTTTGCAGCCTTGTGGGTGCAACAGCAGGGTTTGCGAAAAGTGTAACGCTCAGAAAACGACATAAATCAATGATAACAATAACAGTCATGTCATTGTCTTTCTAGTCGAATGTGACTAAATGGACTTGCACGCACAACGTTATACACATGGGTGCCAATTGATCCTTGTGACTTATGGGCTCATGCCCTTCCCTGCAGTCTATCCTCTCAGATGTTGTCTAAGATGAATGGCCAGGAAAATTCTTTTTCGCTCCACAATGTATACTTTTAAGAGGACAAATCAGGTTCTCCTAGGGAAGGATTCTATGGAGCGTGTGCCACAAACAGCTCTGGTGTGGTGTGAGCGTCTTGTGCAGTATATTCCATACCCCATGCCCACACCACAATGCCCAGATATCCCAGAGGCACCATGGCCAACTGGGGACACCATCGAAGTGGCCACACTCAAATCGATCCTCAAACAGATGTTTGGGTGCCCAAACTTCGTTGAACAACTACCAATCTGCGGTGCCAAGTACCCAAAAGGCCCCAAAGCCAGTGACGTGACTTCCTGCTGTGTGGGCGTGCCAAAGGCCTTCTATCACGAAGCAATATCCACAAGATTCCCATAGAATCCTGTCTGTGCTATTCATGTGTGACCCTCACACTGTCGGCAGGACCAGGAAGTGGCCACAGCCTCCTGCACGCAGGAAAGGGCCCCGGGAATGCAGATCAGAGCTCACCTGCAATCTTGAACAGCAGCCCCGTGATGAACTGGCTCTCCATCGCCAGGAACCGCTCAAGCACCTCCACAGACACCTGCACAGAGGGGCGGTTCAGTGTGCAGGAATAGCCGCGATGAACAAGGGCGGGCCACCTCCCAGGTGGAGGCGGGCTGTTTGAGACCACACATCCCCAATTTCCGCGGATTGCCAGCCTGGGCAGCTGCCTGCATGCAACGCTGTTCCCTCCATCGGCATGGGCGCGTGTGTGACTGTTTTGAAACAATCCTGGGAAATGACCGCTGATGACGCACCCTGCCGGCCGCCAGCGCGGCGCCGAAGTCCGCCGGAAAGCTCTCCACCGACCTCCCCGCCGACGCCAGCACAGCCGCGACGCCCGGTGCGAACCCTCCGCTCCCCTCTGCTCACACCAAGCCCGAAAATCGAACCCCACAATTGCGACCGTCGATCTCCTCCCCCTCCCAAGATGCGATCTCGCTCCGCGCCGGCCGAAGCGGGGCGGAGGGGATCAAGCTGGGGCCGCTCGCCGGGAACGCATCGCTCGCCATGGGACGGGAAGGCGCAACAAAGTCGGCGAGAGTCGACGCTGCCGAGCGCGTGGGTCCGCACGGGACATCACCGCTCGAGGTGATGGACGCCCGCGACCCGTGCAGGGGGCCAAAGTGGAGTCTAACACCACCACATAGCATAACATCGCTCACCTTCGCCGCCGTCGTTCCCGCCATCGCCGCCGTCGCCGCCCTTTCCCGCCCCGCCGCCCGCCTTGCCCCCCGCGCCGTCGTCCACCTCCGCCTCCTTCTCCTCCACCGATGCCCGAGCCTCCCACCGGCCCCCCCGGCCCTCCCCTGCGCCCGTCCCGCCCCCAAAATCAACACCACAATCAAAATCAAGAACAAAATCGAACACAGAATCGCGGCGATCGCCCTCGGCGGCTTGGCGCCGATCGCGCCCGCCCCTCGATCGGCTCACCGGAGGGGACGGATCGGACGAGCCTTGCAGGGCCGCGCAGCCCGAGGGGGGGGATCGCGCCGAGGAGGGCGGCCGGCCGCGGAGGCCTGGCGCATGCCGGCCGGCTCGGGTCGCATGGCGCCCGCCCTGAGGCGCAGGGCGCGGGATGGCGCGCCCGGCCGCCAATCACAGCCGATCGCATGGCGACGGGGGGAGAGGAGAGGGGGTGGGGGGTGGGGTGGGGGGGTGGGAAGGGGGTGGGTGGGTTGTGATCCTGTATGGGGATGCCGGAGGGCTCGCGGCAGAGGCGCGGAGGCGTGGGGCCCCTGACGCGCGCTCCGAAATGAGCGGCCCCCCGCCCTGTGGGCGTGGAGCGACGTGGCCGGAAGAGGGGCAGGAGGGGCACCGGACCCTGGGGCCCAGGGGACCCCCTTTTTGGCGCTCGGGTTGCTGGCCCGCGTGTGACCCCACACTTTTTTCGCGCAGGGGGCAGAGGCGCACGATGGCGTAATGCCAGGCTGTTACAGCCTCGGGTGATGCGTCACGCATTTTCGCGCACCCCGGCGGATTCCAAGACTGCGCTCTGGACGGGGGCCCCCGACAGCCCACGCCCTTGCCGGCCATTCGAGCGCCCTGGACGGCCAGCGGCGCGATGATTCTCTACACCAAAAACTACTGGGGTCTGCCCCTGCTGTGGCGAATCTACGGCTCCGCCTTCCCGCGCACCATCCCCTTCGCCCTGATCAGCGGCGTCATCGCGCTGATCCTGGAGTGGACGGTGGGCGAGGACAAGGACGGCCGGCCCAGCACGGCGCGGGAGTGGTGGCAGGACCCCTACCCCTACCAGACGTTCGCCTTCATAGTGGGCTTCATGCTCGTCTTCCGTAGCAACTTCGGATACGGACGGTATTGGGAGGGCCGGAGCACCCTGCAGGTGGGCACCGCCCCTTCGGCAAGAAAAACAAAATAAGCATCCGAAACGATCAACCCGGCGGGCGAACCCGCCTTGAGAAAAGGCTCCTTTGCGGGGACTTGTTCTTGGTGTGCACTGTTTTGTGATGGAGGTGATGCGGGCAATTTTGGGACAGGAGTGTGTGACAGGAGGGGCCGCGCAGCTGGGCTGGCGCCTGACGAGCGCGCCGCCCTGATTGGCCATCGGGTGTGCTTTGGGGTCGAAGGCCCCCCGAGGGGAGCAAGCGCTGGATGTGCACGGTTGGTTTGTGGGGGGGGGGGGTCGTGGGGTCGGTGCGGAACAGGCCATTTAACGGCGAGGTTGGCAAATACATGGTTCTCACACACGGAGATTGCCGCGGCGGGGAGAGCGAGGGGGTCATCCGGTGGCCGCCCCCATCCTGCGCAACGCGTCCAAGACGTGCATGCTCGCTCGGAGGCGAAGCGGAGGTTTCCGCGCGCGGGCGCAGCGTAGCGCCTGTGCTGCTGGCGCAAGGCCGCACCCGTGATGTCACACCAATCTCCGCACCGCCCCAGCGGCACCGCTGTGGCTGAAATCCAGCGATTGCTGTGGTCTTCGCGCCAGCCGATGCAGCCCTTGCACCTTGCAGTCACAATACGGCGTGACAGGGCGCCCAAGCACTGGTATGGGCATGCGCGCTGGCACCCCTGTCCCAGCGGCTATGACCGCGAAGAGTTGCGCCCTGCGCCCCCAAGCCCAGCCGTTTGGCTGGCGTGCTGCCCCTACGCCAGCGCCGTGGGTACCAGCCCAGCCTCGGCTCCTTGTGGACACCCCGCGTGGTCCCAAGCAACTGCTTTCTGGGTTTTTACCCAGGACGCATCGCGCCTCGGCGCAGTGCCTAGGCCTTGCGGCGCGGGAGCGAGCGGGTGTCGTCATCCCTTTTGCCCCGGCTCTGCTGGCCAGTCCTTTGGGTCGCTGGGCGTTGTGCTGACAACGGGGGCGCGCACACCGTTGCTCACCTCTGAATCTGCTCCCCACAACGCTGTTGGACTCCAAGTGGTGGGTGGCAAGGGGCGGCCCAGCCAGTTTCCTTGCTTCCATGCCTCCATTGTCTCTTTGCTTCTTTTGCCTCTATTCTGCTTACTTAGCTTCGTTTGCTGTACATTTTTCCCTTCGCCTGCTGTTCACTGTGCTGACTGTGCTGTGCTCCCCGTGGCCATCAGGTGATGTCCGCAAAGTGGAGCGACGTCGTCACGCAGGTGCTCAATTTCGACATGGGGACACTGCCTGCGGACCTGGACGACGAGGGCAAGAGGCGGGCCCGGCGCTTTGGCGACACGTTTGTGCACCTAATAAGCCTGCTTCATGCCGTGGCACTCCAAAGTTTGCGCAGGGACTGGGAGCTGTCCAACCTGCGGCCACACGATCAAGGACAGCCAGAGCCACCCATGGACCCCAGGTACGTCGACCAGATGGGCTGTCTCCTTGATTTGTACCTACAGAAGCCTAGTGGACCACTGCTCATCAGCCTTGTGCAGAGTTGATGTATGACTGGTAATAATTGAATTGCTCCATCGATTGACCATTATGTTCCTGGATACAAGGCCGGATATCCGCGCGCGCTGTGCACCCGCGGTCCTCTGATTAACCCGACGGTGCAGCATTGTGCGGTCGGGTGGACTACTCACGTGTTCCTTGATGGTTGTGACACAATACATAAAGCTGTATATTGTGCTAGGGCCAAACATGAACAGTATTTGAGGCCATGGTAGGCAGTTGAATGCAAGCGAGTTTCAACACATGTTCAACACATGTCCAATCGCAATGAACTTTAGTCACCTGGATTTGACCTTATAGATTGTTCCATCGATTGACCATTATGTTCCTGGATACTGTTAGGGGCTGGATCTTCTCAACGACGACAAATGTGCAATTCTCTTAGCTGCATTTAGTCCATCGGAATAAGCGATTCTGTGAACGCACAATGGAATGACCACCAGCAGCATTCCTGTACTGGTCATGATATTCATGCTGCCCATTTCGAATGTTTCTTTGTTAACAAAGCGATCATCAATCCACAGGTACATCAAAGATGCTGTCAAGAAGGGGTTAAATTTCATGTCAGTCAGTGACATCACGCACCTGCGCTCTGGACTGACACATGTGAGAACATACAATGCCATCACCCCGCTTGGGGTGGTGGGGGGAATCACAGATGACGAATTCGTGGGCATGGGTATTGATGTGAAGGACATGGGTGCCGATGACCCTGGAGTGCTGTCCAGAGGTGCTCGGCTGTCCAATGGTGCACAGGTGCCAGGGCCTGCAGAGCGTGTGCAGGTGAGAGGCTGGCAACAAAGGACCTATTTGTTGTTTGGCAACCAATGGCCAGCTTGCATTTAGAGGAGTGCTGTTGAAACCACTTGAGTACATTCGCTTTTTTGTTGTGAAACAATGTCCCCACACTTTCCAGACGAAGTTGGTCATTTAGGAAACCAGTGCATATGTTCACGGTTGCTTTCATCACAACAATCTGCCCACTTGCATGAGGCGCAGACAGTCAGTGAAAGAAAAGAAGAGCAGTGCCACAAACTCCCATGTCTAGAGGCATGCTGAGTGTCTGGGTCTCTCAACAAGAGCAACAGCAGCAGGTACAGAAGGCACTTGTTGCTCAAGTTCGAAAAATAGCTTTAATGCAATATTTCGCATTAGAACATGTTTTCACGGCGCCTATCACACCTGCTCACCTACCTCGAGCATTGAAATTACCTGATGTACAATTGTCTCACTTTTCATGTGCCATCTGGTCCCCGTTGGAGCATTGCATCATCCTGCACTGATCTGTGAGAAGGCAAGAAGGTCACATGTTTCCATATGAATGAGAGCAGCGCCAGAGAAATCTAATGTAAGAATTTGGAGTTACAGAGATTGTTGTGCTTGCACAGGTGGTCATGTCATGGGTGCACCAGATTATCCAGGAGCGCCAACGTGAGGGCGGCCTTGCCATCGAGGGGCCCATCCTGGCTCGTGCGTACCAAGTTCTGTCAGAGGGCATGTTGGGCTATGAGCAGTCCCGGAAGATTATGGACACGCCCTTCCCCTTCCCTTGGGTGCAATTCGTCACTGTGTGCCTCCTTCTGTATGCCCTGACAGTGCCCATTGTCATCTCCTCCTACATCACTGAGGACTGGCTGGCCTTCATGCTGACGATCTTTGCAGTGATGACGTATTATGCCCTTAATGAGGTGCGTTATTGTTGCACTATGTTGGTTCTTAATCAGTGCTCCTACATGTCTGTGTATGTCAGTCCTGTTGCAAGGGCAAGTGCAAGTTCTCAGCGGACTGCTGCTCTGGGGCTAGTGCACAAAGTTGATTGAATGGCACCAAGATGTAACCACAAGGCATTGGCAGAGTGGTCAAAAATGAATTAGGTGTGCTTGGATACATGTTCTGTACGACAATACTTTTGCAGGAGAAGGATATCTTCACTGAGAGTCCCAGTGGCATTTGCAATATCATTTTCCAGGGCACCGTCGATTGCTGTCATGTACACGTCAGTGCAGCTGACAGATGCCAAGAAACACGAGACCTATTTGTGAACAGCACAGGACTCGTGTTGGATGCCGCTGTCAATCAGGTTGTACAGATTAGAAACATAGGGATTGATGTGTATCCATCTTGTGCTGCCCGATCTTTGTACATGTCCACAATATCAAATCATGTATGTAGATTGGGGCCAGTGGAATCATACATGAACGCTAATCATGTGAATCAGCAAACAGAAGGAAGTTCACTGACACTGACCGCTTGTGGCTGGGAAGCTTCAAAGCCCACATACGCATTCGTTGAAACCAATGGTGCCAAGATTTCGTCGGGCTGTTCAACATGCACGGGATAAAGCATCAAGTCGATGCTACACTCTGGTGTTGTGGTCTCAGCCCGACATCGCCAGAATTGTGGAATGCCTCGCTTTGGCAAGTCATGCACAATGTTCTGAACGGCAGCTCATTCCCATCATAGTCTGAAAACAACAGATTGGGAACAGGCCATGCATTGACACTGTCTGACCAATGCAGCAAAGGAAACTTTCATCTCTGCCACCAAACTGTTAGTCCTGCACAGTTTGGCTTTTCAAATGCTGTTCAGCTGTTGAAGCCATGCGTCCTCAAGCCGCAATGTTGGAAAACGAGACAACCTCCCCCAAGCGAAGCCGGTCATCTGTCTTGTCTTTGGGCGAGACAGTCAGCGTGTCTTTCAACGATCGTTGATTCGGCTCACAAGCTAAATGTTGTGGGAACGGGAACAAGGACTTGCGAAGGGCCATCATTTGTATCTGTGACCAACTCACAGCGTTGCTAGATTACCTAATGGACATTGCTTGTGTGTTCAGCGAACATTATCATGTACAATGCGTTGCCAAAGCACATGATCACTTGTGTCATCAAGTGTTCAATGAATATTATCAGTTTTCACTGATCGGCTGGCTGGTCTTGCTGTCTCCGTCACAAGGTGGCCCGAGACCTAGAGGACCCCTACGTGTACGACCCCAACGACCTGCCCATGGCCCGCCACCAGTATGCTTTCAACGAGCGCATCCTGTCGTTGTCGGGCACCAAGCGTCCATTCAGCCCCACGGAGTTGGGCATCGCGCGCCTGCGCACCATCGTGAGGAGGGACCAGACAAACAACAGCATGGTAGCACTTCCCACGTTTTCAGGGTTTGCACACGACACGGTGGGATCTCCTCGGCCTCCGATTAGCATGATCGGCGGCAAGGCGCCGCGCATGGATTTGCAGCTGTTTGCCACTGGGGGCGGCCCCGATCTGGATCAAGTTTTGTCTCTCCACGGGGCCCATCATTAGTTGGTCAGAGGGTGGCTGTGAGTTTGCCATATAGCGTGCAGAGTAGCTGGTGTGGCCTAGGGCAGAGCTGCCCGCGCGCGGCCTGCGAATGGGCATGCATTCCTTCGGTTTGTGATCTTGCGAGATAGGTAGATGTTCTTCATGCTTTGAACTCTAGCAGTCGGGCTTCGAGGCGAGCTGGCAGCTCAGCACATTGAAGACGTAGGAAAGGGGCCTTTCGATATTGTAGCGAGGGCAGAGGTGTGCAAGGAAGATTATGAAATTCCACATTGACTGTGCTTGTGCACTGATTAGTGCGATGCCTATTCACCTGAACCAATGGCGCGATCTTGAGCCACTCATCACAAGACAACAAACGAAGCTGGCTAACGCTGAAAGTACTGCGTAACTGCTGCTTTATGCAGTTTGCATATGCCTTGGTGGCCCCCGACTGGATGTACCCAAGCCTTGACAGATATCTCAACGCATGGGATGGCTCGTGCATATCTGGCATCTACCAACGTACCTCTGCCGTGTCAAACGGATGCCGTCCAGGCGGCCCTGCTGCAGAGCCGTAGATGCCAGACCAGCCTTCTTAACGGGCTGATGGGCGTTGAATGCTGTCCCGATTATTGGGGGTCATTGCGGTCGCCGCCTTCCCTGCAGGCAAAACGGGATACGCCAGGGGAAACCAGCAATGGAGTGGCAGTCAGAAGCATAGACACTGGAGTCAAAGTCCGAGTGGTGGGCCCATGGTATGGTGCTTACACAGAATGTTTGTCCCTATTCCAAAGCCGACTCCCAAAGGCCGGGAGTTGTCAAATCCGGTAACAGTACTAAGCGCGCCTTCGATGTCCTGCGCACCAATCGTCGACTGCCAATCCACAACACAATCCCCACTAGAGCCCTCTTGAAAGAATGGCCGTTGCTGCGATTCAAACAGCCCCCTTTGGAGTGCACACGGGAAGCTCGAATCCACGATTGCCGATGCTTCAACGGCATTGCCACACAGCCAGACGCAAGGCCACACCACACACAAAACGCCCAGGGCTTACATATTTGTTCACCCTTCCCACAACAAAGAGCCCTGCCGACGGTGGCAACGACCCCCACAAGCGAACAATTCGAATCTCTTTGCACCTACATAACTCTTCTTTTCACGCGACAGTGACCATCACCCATCAGCAACCAGCCATACGACACTTTAGAGATGCCCACTCATCGCCATAAATCAACCCACTTCATAAAACATACTCTGAATCACATGGCATCTCCCACAACAATCAAATTGATGCTCACAAAAGTCCCATCACAGGAGAAATAATTCTGCGAATTCTAAAGCAAATTTTTCTTTTCTTTGTATAAATTCAGAATGCCTTGCATATGAACGATATTCTTGAAGTGCGTACAAGTTGCACACCATAATGCATAAGTGACCCACCCAGTGCAACGGCGGTCATTATGCGGTGTTGCGAACAGCCCTCTGTTTGATGCTCCAGATGCCGCAGCACCTTGAAATGATAACTCCGAAAGAGCATAAGTTCATCCCCCGCATCACATGTTCACACTTTGAAAGGTCTTTGAGGCTCCTGAGCGAATCGAGGCACTCCTGGCACAGCAATGCAGCATTTTTAGCATCACTCACGCAACCCAACCTAATGATCCATTCTCTCAACCCTAATGTTCCACCCTGGCCTTGCCGATCTTCACCCAGCCTTGACAATCCTCGCCAGGCCTCAACGTCCTCGCCCAACCTTGACGATCCTCGCGCAGCCTTGAAGACCCTGACAATCATTGAGGGAGCCGCCACGCGAGGGATGTATGGAGAGATTGTTTCAAAGCGATCAAGGCAATCATCATGGGTGCTACAACATGGCTTCGGAGCATATCAGGAATAGAGAATGATTGGTGTCAATCCAGCTGATCAGAGGGGACACAAGGGATGTGGCTCGGATAGCACTCAACAATGGTTGCTTGCTCATAAAGTCAACAGAATAAAGGAGTCAGTCACTCAACTGTCATTCCATGATCGGGAATTTGTTAGTACCCATCTACTATGCCCTGGCAGGTTCACTCCATCATGCACTAGCAGATCGTGCGAGCCACTAATAAAATAGATGCAACATCGGGGGTACTTAGAATTTGCCACATATACGCCAACACTGGTGACCCAACAGGGCAGTTGAATACCAAAGAGTGACAAAGTATTAAAATGAAAACAAGTCTGATGCGTGATTGATGCAGCTATGATGCTGCTTCGGAGGTGGATTTGAACACATGGAACAGTTGTTACAATTCCGCGTAGCCGTAAGGAAGAAAATCCAAAAAACGGTGGACAAGGAAAAAGGGAATGCGCAGTCGAACTCCCCCCCCCTCCCAAAAAGAAAAGAATTGACGTTGGAAAAAGAGCAGAAATAGCGGTGATATAGCCAGCAGATGTGACGCAACAAGAGCGACTGGCGCAGTTGGGGAAACTATGTTCCTGCTGAATGTTAGCCTTTGCACAAGGACGCAGTTGAGTTGCTCCGCTCATCACACAGCGCTCGCGCATGGGTCCTCTGACTAAGTGACTTCTGGGGCACGAATCGAATCCCCAAACGCCCTGGCATGCGAATGCTCAACCAACGCTGATTGTTTTCAATGCAGGAAGCAGCAACTCCCCAGCGGCTGAGCCAGCATACATGTTGTGTATTTGCATGGTGCTTCACGCCCTGGGGAAGTGGCCAGGCTCCCATTCAGCGCAACAGAAGAACAACTGGCACATGTTTTTGACTCAGGCATCACAACCTCGTCTCCCACACATCAGCAGCGTGATGCTAAGAGGGCAATGGATTGCTGTGAGCCACGAACGCCGTGAGCACGTGTTTCGGTCACGGATGCGCATGAAGCAGCGAGACGCAGCCTGCTGCCCCCTGCTCGAGTCAGTGCAGTGAGGACAGGCAAAGGGCTGAGGGCATTTCAGAGGAACGCCCCCAAATTTCCACGAGTGCAAACGAATGGTATATACTTCCTCTATGATTTACTTGAAGTAAATCACAGAGATTTGGATGAGCATGTGAGACTGGTCGTCTTTCAAAGCGGACGACGCCCTGGCAGTGCTGATCCTCATTTTAATGCTGCGTCAGTCAGCCAAACTGCCAGCCGCACAAAACGCCATCCCTTGGCTCCTAGGATCCACAATGCAAGGAGCGAAGAGCATTAACATTGCGGAATGCCACTGCGAATTCGCAACAGAGCTCTTTGACCTGATGCCGCGGCTTGCGTATCGACGCCACAGCTTGGGAGCCTAAAGAAATATGAACGGGCGGGCGTCGATGGTATGGTGTTCACACCAGGGAACATTTCTCGGTTCGCGGCTAGCGCTGGCCGCCTGCCCAGTCTTGCCCGCTGCATTGGCATCCCTGTGCAATACCACTCCCCAGACATTAACACCGATGCTCTACTTGCAACAAGTTGGCACAAAATGTTGGCGAAGCTGTGTCCCCACACCTGCCTCAGATAGCACGGTGCGCACAAGGCGACAGCCACAGCGGCAGCGCCCGACTTCGCTACAGGAGGCATCTCATTTGCGGCCCCGCTTGCTCGCGTTGGTGACGGCTAGCTCACTCGGGAGCGGGTGAAAATGGCACAAGTGAGTGTTTATGCAAATTTATGATTGTATGGCTGTATGACAAATATTCATACATCGGATACACAATGCTGTGTCGAATACATAATTTCTGCCCGTGTACAGATTTTTCAAGAAGTGAATTAACATCACACACCGTTTTTGCATTGGGTCACATAGCTCTGCCCAGAAAGCAATGCTTGTGATACTTTTCGTCAGCGCCACAGAACACCGAAGATTGATGGGGAACATGAGCAAGGAGTCGTCGGTGCCAAATCACAGTGGCAGCGGCACGTTGTGGTGTGCTCAGCAGCGCGAACAGCAGTGCGTTTGGGAACAATGCTGTTTGGACAGCAAGGAGCGGCCCAGAGGGCGTGGTATATTGAAAGACATGCTATTGGTGTGAGTCAACGAATTAGAATCCCTGGAATGCTAGGCAAAAGAAAATGATCAACGCATGGTAGTATTGCAAAGCAGAAGTCCAAAGTGCATGCATGGACAATATTTGTCTCTGGATTTGTGCATGCATGTAATTACATACCTTATATATACCTTATATATATACCATACAAGGCAACAGGCAGGTTGATGGTTCTGTTCATGTTGGGGTAATCACTGATCGGTAATTATGCATGAGCATCCAGGCGCTCTGACAGATGCGTCTAATTATGCACAATTACGTTGCCACACAATGCTTGCGCATTGATGTCAGTGCTGTTGTTTGGTATTTGCTCTTTTATTCCAGCGTTTCATTGACAAATTCCTCAGGTAGACTGCATAGAAATGGTGGCGCACTTGCAACAAAATACGGCAACTCCACGAGTGGCTGCAGCAGCTGCCTGCCATCGCCCCTGCCGACGTCACAATCAGCAAGCATGCAAATTGGTGGCAAGTGTAACGAGCTTCTCACCCGCTCCCCAGGGATTAATCCGGATTAATCCAATATATAAACCAATTATTAAACCAATATATATATTGGTGGTCCAGCAGCGCGTCTTGAAGGACGCGATCGCAATACAGCACTGAATTTCCACTTCCTGTGCCCGTGGCTATGGACATCCGTAGGGAGCCGTTTCTGCAGGGTGCCCGGCATGCAAACCATCCGAAGTAACCATGTCAAATTTTGCCATAATGTCGCCATGCCAGCAAGCGCGGAATCGATTTCCAAATGTTCCAGTGCATACGAAACGCCTATTGGGCAGTTCTAATGCTTATATGAACTCTAAGCAACCCATGATGTCACGGGATCAGTATGTCGATAGTTAATACTTCTTCTATCCCAAATCGGCGACGGGTAGCCTCAGATGGGAGCTGCCTTCTAGGCGCAGATTACGGGCCAATACTTTTCGGCCTCCATAGCTGTAATAAGAGGAACTGTGGGAAGCCTCCCAATCATGTTGACAAGCTGTGATCG